TAGAGATACCATTTGACCCAGCAATTCCACTACTGGGAATATATCCCAAAGAGACCATAACTGACATCCAAGCAGATATATGCACACCCATGTTTATTACTGCTTTTTTCACAATAACAAGGAGTTGGAAACAACCCAGGTGCCCATCAACAAACGAATGGATAGAGAAGCTGTGGTATATATTCACACAATCGAATATTACGCTGCATTGAAAAACAAGGAACTCATGCAATATTATTAAAAATGGGTGACCCTGGAGGACATTATGCTGAGTGAAATATCTCAGTCACAAAAGGACAAATATTGCATGGTGCCACTGCTGTGAAATGGGACTGATATTAGGGTTGGGGTAAGACTGAGAAAAACTGGATAAATTGTGTATACTGCACTGAAACAGATGAGGAAAGAATAATTTAAAAGCGATGTATGATAGGGTATTATGTACTTGGGGCAGTGGAAGGGGTGCGGGGGGATTGTGTACCAGGGAGGGAGTGTTTCTTTTGCTTTTCCAAGATAGGAGTGGACTAGGGGGGAGGGGGGGGGGGCTGGGCAGGGAAAGAAGTGCAGCATTGAATGAATGGGAATCCAAAATCTCTGTAAATGTTGATTAAAATTATTGATTTTTTTAAAAAAGCAATTCTTGTGTCTTTACTGATTTGCTGGTGTCTTTCCTGCATCTTGATTTGCTGATTTGGTCTTCTTGGGTTGCTCATGAGGTGGTAAGGGCTGTGACCTGCCACCTGGCTTTCCTGAACTTTCTGATATCTGTAAACTTTGGTGGGGGTTGGGTGACGTCCTGGTGGGCCACCTGCCCAGGTGATGCTGAGAGCTCCCAGTGACTCAGTACCTAGCGCTGACTCCTATTTCCTACTTGGTCAAGGCCCTGACGGAACTGATGCGGTGCCCAGACACAAGCACTAGATTTGACCCTGTTGAGATCAGAGGCCTCTTTGGAATAACTGACAATTAAAAGCCATATTGACATAAAAATCTCATCTTTCAGGTTAAGCTTACAAAAGTCTCTGGTTAAAACATTCTAAAAAAAGATGAGGATTATCATCAAACTCTGTGAAAGCATACTTCATGTGTTAGGTTTGTAATAGGATCTCTACACCCCCTCCATGCAAATGCAAACAGGGATTTGACTTTAAGGATGAAGGGGAATGCAAAAAAGGACATCCTTCAGATTTAGGACAGAAAATAAAATTTCTTTCCCAGAGTGTGGGTCTGATTTTGGGGCTATAGGTTATATTATATAAGTTATATTAACTTCTCTCAGGTCCTGCACAAAGTAGTATTTTCCATTAGGCTTCTATACAGGAAGTATGGGTGTACTGAAGGGGGACTGGTAGGGTTTGATAAACTCATGCTTTATCAAGTGATTTAGGACTAGGCATATCTGCTATAGGACTTCTTCTGGTTTCAGAAGATGAAAAAGGAGCAGTGGTAATATGGAGAATCCTAACTTCAACCCACTTCATTTAGGGGAATTGTCCTCTAAATAATAGCCATGGTGCCAAACAAATAGCTACATAGTCAGACATGTCACCCATGCCCTCTCACCCATGCTCCTGCTCCTATTTCTAGGAATCATTGGATACAATGTTTGTTGAAACTTGATTCACAGACTTTACTCACATTTGTGGGGTTTATTAGGGAAATAGATTGGGAAGCGGGGGAGGCAAAGACTATCACACAATGCAAGTCTAGGTTTAGACGTGAAGTCCCAAGTCAGACTAACAAAGCACAATTTCTCAATTAGTGAACATTCAAATTCAGTTCAGCAGTGCAAATGTACCTCTTCTTTCCTAAACCATCAGCAAACTTTATCTTAGATCTGTTACAAGTAAGCTTCTCCTTCAATCTCCAGTGTTCCTTTGGTTACACCTTGTCACAGTCTCTTTACAGTCTCTCATACAAAGTTTCTTCACAGCAGTTTCACAGTCTCTTCAACCCTCTTTCCCTTACTATTTCTCACAATGTGAAAAGCACTCTCTTCTACTTGTCCCACAGCTATTGATGACTTGCAAGACTATGTGTCCGCAATTAAAGGAGCTAGGGACCATGCACCCAATGTGAGCTAGTCCAATGAATGTTGTTGTAATGTGCCAGTGAGTCACTTGTGACTCATAATGACCCTATGTACAACAGCCCGGAAATCTGCGCTACTCTGTGTCAACTTATTGCCCCTGACACAGCTACCTTTATTACCCCAATCATTGTATCAATCCATCTCATTGATTGTCTCTGTTTTTTCATCCCTCTACCCTTCCATGCATAATGCCCCTCTCCAAGGACCTAGCTCTTCTTGCAACATTACCAAAGTACGTCAGATGAAGCCTCAGAATCCTTGCCTCCAAGGAGCAGCCTGACTTAACACTCACTCTCTAGAATAATTTGTTGTTCTCCTGGCAGTTAATGATATATTCAACACTATTCTCTAGCTTGAAAGTTCTACCTAGGTTGCCCTTTCTGTTCATCTACATGTGTTGTATTGTACATAGGGTTTTCAGAGGCCTGCTATTTCAGAAGTGGATGGCCAATCCTTCTTCCTAGTCTGTCTTTTTTTTCAAAAATATGGAACGCTTCACGAATTTGCGTGTCATCCTTGCGCAGGGGCCATGCTAATCTTCTCTGTATCGTTCCAATTTTAGTATATGTGCTGCCAAAGCGAGTACTTCCTAGTCTGTCTTAATCTGAATGTTTAGGAGTATCTGACAGACAGTAATTTGTGGAGCAGTGAAAGATAAATTCTTCATTATGGAGTTAAACATTAGTTACAGTGTAGTCCCTGCCCTTAGCCCAGTGCCTTGACCCACTTATTTCCCAGCTCCACCATCCACCAGGATACCCCTTCACTTCTGCCAAATGCCTTCAGAATTAATCTCCCATTGTCCGACCCATGACCTGAAAGCTTGTATCTGAAGCTTTCTTGGATCCTGTGATGCCAAACATGTAAACTGCTGACAATTTTCTTTTTTTTCTGTGTTCAGGATCTATTAAGTTTAGTTGTACTGTCTCCAAAGGGAAGGTGATGTGTCCTGTAGAACTCCTGTATAGATTGTGTCTATACAGGGCCTCAGGCCCTCGGGCCCACTGTTTTTGGGTTCACCTTGGGGCTTCGTATGTGCAGGCGTGTCAGAAGCTATTGCCGGAGTGGCCTCTGTGTTGCCTGGCCTCAACTTGTGCCCGCGCGGCTTCCAGGCTCCCTGTTCTGCCGGCGGCGTGTCCCTCAGTCTGCCCTTTGCTCCTCCCAACCGTTTTTGGGTCCGCCTTGGGGCTTCGTACCTGCAGAGAGTTATGCATCAGAGAGTTGGACAATGACTAGGGAGGATAGAAGGAGAATTGACGCCTTTGAGCTGTGGTGCTGGAGAAGAGTATTGAATGTTCCATGGACCGCCAAGAAAACAAACAGATCCATCCTGGAGAGGGTTAAACCAGGCTACTCCTTGGAGGCAAGGATTCTGGGGCTGTGTCTGACATACTTTGGATATGTTGTAAAGAGAGACAGGTCCTTGGAGAGGGACATCATGCTTGGTAGGGTAGAGGGAAAGTGCAGGAGGGGAAGACCCTCTATGAGGTGGATTGATTCAGTGACTGGGGTAATCGGGATGGGTGTGTCAGAGGCAATGCTATTGACACAGGATAGAGCAGGGTTTAGGGCTGTTGTACGTAGGGTTGCTATGAGTCGCAAACGACTTGAAGGCACATAACAACAACAACAACAACAACAAATTCTCTAGCACCACCGCTCAAAGGTGTCAATTCTCTTTCTATCATCCCTATTCATTGTCCAGCTCTCTGATGCATAGCAAGCAATTGTGAAGACTAGAAAAGGCAATTTTCAATTTCCTGACACCATCGAAGGTATTGGTGTTTCACGGGATAAGCAATTTCATGCTTTAGGAAGATTTTAATAGGTTCTGTTCCTTTTCCTTGCACTGTGATAACAAGCTTCTGGAGGAACTTGTGACCAAAGCTGTTTAGGATTCTCTTGATAAGCATTTCTATTGTATCTGCACGAGTTATCTGTAAGTCTTATCTTTATAATGTTATTAAAATGCTCAATCTATAAGGTGAGCCACTCACTATTCTGGAAGTCCTTTCTGGGAAATTTGCCTTTCCTAAGGCCCTGCAGGTTCTCTCTGTTGTGCAGAACAGCCCTCCATGAATCTCATCTTATTGTAGTCCCCTGTTCCAAACACTATTGTCCTCCTTTGTCTTTGAAGTGGGCAAGAGGTTTGAAACCAGGTTCTCCACTTGAGCAGTTTCTGTATAGAGGGATTTCAAGTCAGCTCTCTCTCTCTCTCTCTGCAGCTCAACATGCCAGTTGAAAAAACTAAAACAGTCCTTCCCTGCTTGTAGCTCTGTGTCCCACACTTTGTTGTCCTGTTTGGTCCCATCGCAGGGATGGATCCACTGCCATAGAGGAAAGGATACCTTAATTGAGGGACCTATCTTCAGGGAGGTTTCAGTCCTGTCTCCTGACAAGCACACCAAAGAGCTCACTGTAGGTGGCAGTTCCTCACCTCCTGCACTTTCTCTCCTGAAGCTTAATGTCTTTCCTTGACTTTGGGGTGGCAAGCTATTAGTGTCACCAACTTACACAGTTTGCATGCAGGGGGAGGGGATGGCGGGATGGATCTCAAGT